TGTCATTAGGGTCTAATTCAAGTACTTTCTTATAATTTGTAACTGATTCTTCAAACATATTTTGAGATTTGTACACGTCAGCAAATTCATAGTAAGTATCTAAATTTTTGGGTACTTCATCATAGAAGGCTTTAGCTTCATCGATCATTTTTCTATCCAAGTAAATATTCATAACTGTCTTTATAATATCTAAACAATGAGGGTTTATTTCTAAAACTTTTTTAAAGTTAACAATTGCTTAATCAAACATCTTTTTCTCTTTGTAAATAAGGCCTAATTTGTCATAGGCTTCATAATAGTTTGGATCTAGCTCAAGAGCTTTTTATAAGCATTCTATTGATTATTCATCCTTCAACTAAATATAATATTTATAGCCTTATTAATAAAATTCCTTTGCAGTTTTTGGAGTTTTATCTTCCTATTGATTTTTTTAATTTATTTAAAAAATTCTTACTTTTGCCTTTTTATCATTTGGTTTTATTTAAAGAACTTTTTAATAACACTCAAGTGCTTTATCGTTTTGTTTTTTTTATTCATACACAAGTCCAGTGTTGTAAATTGCTAATTCATAGTTTGGATTTATTTCTAAGGCTTTTTTAAGATTATCAAGAGCTTAGTCTAAAATTTTCCAATTATAATACATAAATCCAATACTATTAAATGTTTCAGCATTATTAGCATCAATTTCTTAAGCTTTAGAAAAGCATTCAAGAGCTTTTTCATTGATTCCTTTAGCAGAATAGATGCTACCCAATCCAAGATAGGGTTTTAAGCATTTAGGATCTAACTCGATTGCTGCTAAATAGAAACGAATTGCCTCTTCCATCTGCTTGATTGCCTAATTAAGCAGTCCTAAGTTACAGAAAGCTTAAGTATATTTTGGATTAAGTTATATTGCCTTTTCATAGCATTCAATTAACTCAACTATTATTTCAGTTTAAATAAAAAGATCATCATCGAATGTGGATTTCAAATCGCTATCTTTGACTTTATTATAACACTCAAAAGCTTCAGATTGCATATTCTTTTAAGAATAAACATTTCCTTGTCTGACAAAAGTGGCAATGAATTTTGGGTTCATCTCTTCAATTTTTTTGTAATATTCCAAGGCTTCTTCTAGCATATTTTTTGATTCATATATTGTTCCTAAGTTGTAGTAAGCGAGGTAATAACTTGAATCAAGCTATAATATTTTTTTAAAGTAATCTAAGGCCTCATCAAACATATTTTATTACTAATAAACATCCCCTAAATTGTTTAGGGCATCTAGGTTATCCTCCTCTATTGCTAATATGCTTTAATAGCAAGCTATTGCTTCATCATAGCTTTTCTAAGTTGTTTTCAGTATTGCTAAACTAAAATATGATTTAATATGTTTTGGGTTTATTTCTATTATTTTTTTATAGCATTCAATAGCTTCAGTAGTATTTCCTTTTAATTAATAAACTTCTGCACTTCTATAATAAGCATTCCAGCAATTTGGATCTATTTAAATAACTTTTTTAAAGCAGGCTTGAGCTTCATCAAACATTTTTTATTTAAAATAAATTACACCTAAGTTAATATGGGCATTAGTATACTGTGGACTTAATTCAATAACTTTTTTATATGCCTTGACAGCTTCTTCATTCATATCTTTATTTTGATATAAAAAACCTAACTAAAAATAGTCATAATGACTCTTTGGATTTATTTAAATTATTTTTTTGAAGCATTCAATACCCTCGTCTGACAAATTCTACTTAACGCAAAGATCTCCCAAATTTGTCAAAGATTTAAGAAATTTAGGATTGATTTCTATTGATTTCTTGTAACTTTCAATAGCATTTTATATTAAATTTTATTTTGCATAAGCAAGCCCAGAGTTATGGTGGGCTTTGTAATATAAAGGATTTACATCAAGTGCTTTTTTAAAATACTCAAGTGCTTCAGTTATCATATCTTTATGATAGTAGACGAGCCCTATGTTATTATAAGAATCAGAACTTTTTGGATTAATTTCAATGGCTTTTTAAAAATAGGTAAGTGCCTCATTATCTTTTTATTCTTAATAATATAGTAACCCTAGGTTAAACTGAGCATTAAAATAATTAGGATCTATTTCAATAGCTTTTTTAAAATACTTGATAGACTCCTCCTTCTTACTTATATTCTAGTAAATATACCCAAGCCTTTCATAAGCTTCTACGCAATTCTAATCCATTTCTATAGCTTTTTTGAGATATTTGATAGAATCTTCAGTTTTATATTCAATATAATAGTTACGAGCTAGGCTGATATAAGCCTTAACATAATTAGGATCTATATTAAGTATGTTTTTATAGCAATCATACGCTTAATCGATCATTTTTTTGCTTTCGTAAGTAAATCCTAAGTTGTGATGAGCTTCTGTAAAATTTGGATCTATTTCAATAGCTTTTTTTAAGCAATCTATAGCTTTATCTGTAAGATTTTATTTCTTGTAAGCAAAACCTAATCTTTCATGAGCCTTCGCGCTTTTAGGGTCTATTTCTAGAGCTTTTTAAAGGCATACAACAGCTTCTTCAATCATTTTCTTTTGTAAATAATTTTCAGCTTTGCAGATGTAGGCATTTATATAGTTAGGATTTTTTTCCACTGCTTTATTAAGAAACTCGAGAGATTCATCAAGTTGTTTCTTTGATTGATAAATTAAGCCAAGATTATAGAGAGCTTCTACATTACTATAGTCTACTTCTAGAACCTTTTTGTAGCATTCAATAGCCTCATCAATCAAATTCTACTTTTAAAAATCAAGAGCTTTATTAAATAGAGTTTCAGTATCTTCCATCTCTTAGCTTTTTGTAATATTTAAATTAGATTTGGTTTACTATATCCTATTTTAATAATTTCAAAAGATATTTAAAAGGTAAAGTTTATGATAATTATTATAAACACTAAATTAGGATAGAGATATTTCAAGCTTTTAATTGTTCTAAAAACTTTTATTATCAGGAATTATCTGTATAAAGATATTTATTTTTTGTTTGAATTGAAATAATCAATAGAAGCAAAAGATAGATCAGATTGAGAAATAAAACTATTAAATTTATTCCATAAATAAAATTTTGTTTAAAGAACTTTTGAAATGATGACAAGTAAGTAACACAAAAAAGGATAAAATAAGTTTCAAAGTATGCATAAATTAAACTTGCATGCTAGAAATAATTATTTAAATGGGCTATGTTAATTACCAATAGAATACTTTACACGTATAGATTTATTTATTTATTTATTTTAGATTTTAAATAGTAAAATAAATATTTATTTCATATTTCTTTTATATATAAAACAAATTAAATAAATAGATAGATAGATTATTAGTTTGTTTCTTTTTTTATATTGAATTTGTTAAATAAATCATTTATTTTAGACTTTTAGCAGTCGTTTTAGACAGCAAGTTAAAATTTAAACTACGGTTTAAAGAATTCAATTCTATTTGAAGCTGACTGTTGCTTTGTTTTAGCCTCTTTAATCTTACTATACATTTCAAATTATAGGGATCAGTTTTGTTAAAAATTTTTATGATCATAATATTCAGAATTGTAGTATAAGATAAGCTATATTATAGTTTCTATCAATACATAGGAATTTTTTATTTGCTAATATAATTAATTGGTTGAGTGTTTAAGATAATATATATTTTAAAATTACACACAATTAATGATTAAAAAACTGAATAACTTGAATGAATAAATCTTATTCCTAATTGGTAATATAAATTTATATGGAATAAAAAATAATAATATCCTTGAATATTATTAAATAAAATATTTATAAATGTACTAAAGGAAAATCAATAAAATTGATAAAAATTATATTGATATTAATAAAAAAATATGTTATTTATTTTGAAGCCAATCTATGAAATTCAAATGTTTATTGTTGCCATTTAAATTTTACAACAAAAATTTTATTAAGTTAGAATTATAATTATTAAGGATTGTAATTGCAAGGAATAAACCCTTTAATTTATTTAAAATATAGATTTCGATTATAAAATTAAATTTCTAAGTCTTAAATTAAATTTTACACTTTTGAAATGTTTTTTTTGTGAATTTTAAAGAAATTTTGGAAAAATATTTTAATTTTTAAAAAATAAAATTTAATAAACAAATTAATAAAATATATTAATAATTTCATATAATTATTTAAATATTTAGAATTAATTTATTTGATTTTAATTTTACTTTTTAAAGTAAGTAAGTAAATAAATAAATAAATACATATCATGAAAGAATTTAAATAAAATATTTATAAATACTTTTATAATTTAAGGTTTTTCTTCAAATAACTTAAGAAATTAAAAAATATTTTAAAATTTAAATGTAAATTTGGTCGACATATATTTAAATGACACTTTCACCTATTCACTCGTAACGACACCAAATGCTAATATCTTTAAACGACACTGCTTTTTAATTAATTTAAGCGACAACTATATTTACCATTTTTAAGTAAGTATCTTTTAAAATAATTATGTACCTTATTTATTCATGGCGAGCTGAGAATTGGATTTTTGAATATTGGCAAATTTTCAAAAATTTTGTGAAGAGTTTTCAATAGAAGATGGATGGATGTTCTTTATTTGGTTATTGAATCTTTACATTATATTTATTATTGGTAGAAATAATTTATTTAAATTATATATTAAATAGTTAGTTAGGGATGTCTTAATAATAATATGAGAAATTTACTTTTATAAGAAAATTAAATAATTAAAACCTAAGAATTCATTAAAACCATAAAAATAAATAAATAAAGAATGTAATTTAGTGAAAAAGAAATTAATCTCTAAATAGGACTTTTGATTATTGTAATAAATTAGTTGTTTTTGTATGCTATTATAAGTTAGTTAGTAGTAATATTTAATTTAATTATTAGTAAAAATAAGTAGAAATAACAAATAGATTCTTTCCTAGTTTTTATAAATGTATTGCAAGCACTCGAAAGAGGTTGATAAATTTTTTTAAAAATTTGATATGTTCGGAGCAAGAATAAGCCTAAAATATAATAGTAATTCGACTCACTAAACTTGTTGGGGAGCTATTGTATCGCTGTCTATAATTGCCTATTTATTGTACCAATTTCTACTTCAAGCAGAAAATTTATTGCAAGGCAAAAATTTTCAATTAGTTTATAGCGAGAACTCTGAAGAAGAGCCTAAATAAGCAAAAATATCTGCTAGTGAATTTCCACTTGCATTGGGGATTAAGCAAAATGATTTTTCTAGTAGCTTTTTACAAAGAGAATCTTTCAATGTAGAAGGAATTCAATTTTCAATTTAGAGAGTATTAAATAATTAGACTAACTAATATGAGTTTTAGACTGTTTAAGAATCGTTTAGCTTGGAACCTTGCTCAGAAAGCAGCTTTTAAATATAGGAAATTGCAAGCGAAATTAAAAAGTATCCTCTAAATTATTTGTATTGTATACCATCAAATAGCAGTTATTCCTTGTAAGGATAACCTGAGTCAAATACATATAAATTTTTAAAATTCAAAATCAGCTATTGCAAAAGTTAATTAAATTGCTCAGAATCTCTTTAAAATTAATAATAAACCTCTTTGTATACTATTTATGTAAATAGAATAATTGACGCTGATAGATTAGAAGATTAGTTATTACCAATGGTTCAAAGTATGTAATGGACTGCTTCAAGCGGAACTAAAAGAATTGATTTAAGGTTTAAAAATGCTTATGTAAATTCTTAAATAGGAACACTTTTTTAGTCAATATAAAGTCAACAAAAATTGCTCTTCAGTTCAGATAAAGAGCTGATTACTGACTACAATAAAAACAATATGCTTTTTGAGCTAAATTTGTCTTTAGAAAACAATAAAGAATCAATATATAACATAAAATAATAAACTCTAGTTTAATTCTTTTCATCAATAGGTGGTTTAGTGAACTGCTTCTATTTTATAGGACTCATTTTAGCTATGCCTGCTTCTAAATTTAGTTATAATCAAAAACTTTTAAACAGTATTTTTAATTTCTAACTAGATTAAAATCAGCAAGAATCATCATAATAAGAATCACCACAAATCTACATTGACAATTAAAAATCTTAAATTACAGAGAATAATACTAATACTAATAATAATAATAATACAGTCAATCATAGTAATAATAATAATAATCGCTCTATTTTGAAATAGAATTTTAAATTTAAGTTCAATCGCTCTCACACAATTTAAACTGCGTAAACAGCAAGAGACCCTTTGAACAGTAACATCACTCATAAAGCTTACAACAATAGTATTTTTAGAAAAAACAATTTACACAAAGAATCTGAAGATCAAAAGGATGAAGAACTTGGTGGTAGCAATAGTATAAGTCAAAAAATAGATATAAATTAGAATGAGATTTAACTTGAAAATAAACAAAACAAAGAATAAACCACAGTGATAAATTAATATCAAACACTGAATGATTTTAGCACTTTGAATTTAAATGATATACAGCTATCTAGTTAAAAAAGGTAGGATAAATTAAATGATAGTTTTTGTTCTGCGCAGGAGAAAAAACATAAGATAGCTAATACTTCTTAGTTCTGTTAGAATTAAGATGGTTAAATTCCATTTAAATATATAAGGAGATGTGAAACACAAAAGCTAGAAGATTTAGCGTTTACTGATCATGATAAAAGAAATGAAGATGAATCTAAAAACATTGATGATAAATATAGCAATTGTCGGTAAAGAAGAGTGAGTCAACAGGTTTAAATTAACACTGATCATACTTAAAGTAAAACTATTAATTAAAGCAAGAACTAGAATTAAATAGCTCAAAATAAACAAAATTTAATCACATAAATGAGTCTCCTTAAGAACACAATAAAAATAAAAATTTAAGATTAACTTCTGAGCATATTTTGCAAGAAGAAAATCAAATCTCGAATGATAAATTATGGTATAGAGAAAATAAATGATTTTTTAGACATAAATATGTTCATTAAGACAATAGTAGAATTTCAGAAACTCAAAAGAATTCTCATGAACAAAGATTAATTAATTCTCTTTGAACTTATACCTCCTCCTCTTATACACGAACAGTAGTTTACTAATAAAATTTCAGATGAAGAAAATGAGAAAGAATGCTATTCAGCATTTAATACAGGAATGGTTTTTGAAGATTACAGAACCTAAATTAAAAAAATGAAGGATGCCTAAAGCTCCTACAATAGAATTTTTAAATCTTCAAATACCTAACATTCAAAACCCTCCTTTGTTGATAATCAAATTCTCTTATACATAGGTTAAAATCTTAAAAAGCAATTTGATGAAAATACTTTTAGATGATGAAACTTTTTTGATAAAATTAACAATTTTGTTTAAAATTATAATTAAAATTTATTTTATAAATAATGTAAATAAAATAGCCAATTTATTTTTTTATTTATTATTCGATCAATTTTTATGTGAATTTTAAATTTTAAATTTTATTCAATCAAGAAAGAAAGAAAGAAATAAAAAATGTTTAAATATTTATTTTAATTAGCAATTTATTTTTCTTTAAAATATAATTTGTTGATGAAAAAAATTTTTTAATTTTATAAATATTTTAATCCTTAATTTATTTACTTTGAAGCAATAATATCAGATTATTTTAACTATTTTTTCCTTTATTTTTAATATTAATTTTTTTCAAAAAAAAGTTCCTATAATTCAATTCAGTTCAAGAGAATAATTATTTTTGTGGTTAAAGCATTAAAATAAATAAAAAAATAGTAAATATTTTTATAAGTTGCATTTTAGATCAAAATCAATAATGATTTTAAATTATAAATCATTTTTATAATTTTTTATAATAGAAATGATTTTACAAATTGTGAAAAATTGATAGAGTGTTTTATGCTTATAATTATATTCGAAATGATTTTTTCTAATTATAAAAATAAATAGGTTGTTTTATGCTTATAATTTATATTAGAAATTATTTTTTCTAATTGTGAAAAATAAATAGGTTTTTTTATGCTTATAATTTATATTAGAAATGATTTTACAAATTGTGAAAAATTGATAGAGTGTTTGTTTTATGCTTGTAATTTATATTAGAAATGATTTTACAAATTGTGAAAAATAAATAGAGTGTTTTATGCTTATAATAATTGCAATTAAAAAAGAAAAGCTTTGTTACTTATTAGAAAAATAAATAATTGTAAAATAGTAAAGCGTGGTGATTGCAAACATACTTGATATATTGGATAATCCTTAGACATAAATGATTAAATAAATGAACCAATTATTAATTATATTTAAAATAGTAGACAAAAACAAATTAGGTTTCAGCAAGTATAAAGTTAAATGAATAAATATTAGGGAGAATAAAATCAAGTAAAATGTATTTAAAGATTAAATTTTTAAAGAAAATAAGGGGAAAATATTCTTAAAATAAAATCAAATAATCAATATCACAAAATAAATACAAGGCCAATTAATTAGTGAATATTTTTAAATGAAAACAGTTAAAAACTTTAGTGAAAATTAGCCATTCACAGTGAATGCAATGCAGAAAAATACATATGATTAATAAATAGATAGATAGATAAATTGATATATAGATAGATAGATTGTTTGATTGTTTGATTGATTAATTGTGTTTTACTTTTTAAAAAAATATTTGTAAATTGAAAAAAATTGATAAATTAATTAATTATTTATTTATTTGTTTATTATAAAAAGTAAGTATTAAAAATAAGTTAATAAATATCGTTTATACCAATTTTAGCTAAAGAAATAAAGAAAGCCGGTTGAACCATCAAAAAAAGCTAGCAAAAAAAGTAAGATAGAGGCTAATTAAAGCAACATAACAAGTATTTGCACATCCTATCATGTTCTTTACAAGGCATAGGAGTACTGTTTTAGAAAAATAGCTCAATAAGTCTAAGCATTTTTTTGGCAAGACGCCCTTGTATATCTTATAGCACTTTACTTATAATGTAAATGTTCATTTTTAGCTTAATTATAGCACAAAATCTTGATTTATTTAAGTCTCCTTTTTGATAATCAATCCTTTTTATTAAAATTAGTTTGAATTTCAAAATGGGTTGTCATCTTTTTCATCTAAATAGCTTCCAAAAGAATTTAAATTATAGCAATAAAGCGTATTCATTTATTTTGATTCGATATTTTCTTAGTTAGTTAGCATCTTTCGATTTAATAGTCTGACTCAATCAATAAATCAATAATTTAATCATTCATCACTATGTGGACAATTTTACAAATTGCAAATACAATTCCAAATCAAACTGAAATAGTAAATGAATGTATTCATTGCTTTGGTTGGTTCATAAAGTAGAATGATAATTTATTTCTAATATTTGAACTATTAAACAAATAAAATAAATTAATTTGCGTTTGTAATTTGTTTGCAACAATGATATGATTGATTATTGACTACATTATCTTATGCATTCATAACATTAACTTAAAATGGTAATCTAAATAAAAACTATAAATTAGGTTTTAACAATAATTGTCTCTTCGCTCATTAAATCGCTGCTTAGATTTGGAAATTTCTTTTTTTTAATTTTAGTTATTTTATCCTTTTCCCTCAAGCTATATCAAAATAGGTAACAAATACATCTATTTATTTAATTATAAGCATTAGTTTACTTTATCTCATATTATACTTTACTTTTAATATTATTTTATATAATAAAACCTTATTCTTAAATTATTCAAATTAGCATATTTCTGATAGTCCCTCTCTTGGTCAATTTAATTGTAGCTATTTCAAAAGATATTTATATATACCTTTCTATTATTTCTTACGGAACTCTAAAAATAGATGAGAAGGGATACTATGTAATTAATTAATTAATTGCTAACTAACTAACTACTTCATAATTTGATAACTCTTTAAATTTCAATATTAATTCAAAAAACTATTATTCAAGATATTCTTATCTGCTTTTCAAATTTTATTCAGTTAAAGCTAACAAAACCAATAAATAAATCAATCAATTAGCCATAAATAAAATTTGATAAAATAATAAAAATACACTTTGAACGATAAATAGTTAAGCAAAAATATAAATAAGTAAGCATTTAATTAATCGGTAAATTGACAAGTATTATGAAGTTGATTTAATTTAATATATTACTTAAATAAATGCTAAAATATAAGATATATTTTATCAATTACCATAAATTCTCATGAAAAATAAACTCCAAAAATAATTAATAAATATTTTTATGCTTTTAAAAATATGAGAATTTAAATAAAAAATTATTGCCAAAGCACGGACTCAATTAATGATAATCTACATAAATTAATATTATTTATTAATTAATTAAGAATATGAAAAACGAATTGATATATTTATTCAGCTTAAAAAATTAAATTAAAATAGTATAAATCTAAAATAAAAAACAATTTAAAAAAGAGAGGAATTTAATTTTAAAGAATAGTTTTTTGAAATAAATTAGATAGATTAATTTTTTTTATAAAGATATGAAAAATTAATTTTAATTTAAATGTAATTAATTAGAAAGCTGATTTTACTAATGCACCTACTTTGAAAGAGATTCCTGGAATAAAAATAGAAATCGGTGATATAATAATTTTAAAGAAAAAAGATTATTGTCCTGCAGATATTGTTTTATTAGACTGCAAGGACGATTGGTGCTTTTTAGATACAATAGAAATAGATGGAGTTTCTTAATACAGTATCAAAAAGCCTTTAGCCCCAATAAATGGTAAAATTTCATTGTGAAAATAAAGAAATTAATTATTGATTTTGTTTTTTATGAAAAGCAAATAAAAAAGACATGAAGAGTTTTATTAGTACTTACAAAGAGTATTTTACAGGTAAAATAGAGTATACAAAACCATAGAGATCTGAGAAATAATTTCAGGGTTACCTCAAACTTCAAAATGATCCTAAAGGATAAAATATCGAATTTTCAAATCTAATATTAAGAGGAAGTCAAATTAAGTATTCAGATTGGGTTATTGGTTTAGTCATTACAAAGGGAAAGGAAATTACAAATGTATCTCAGCTGCAAAACTCCTCTTCAGACAGAAAGTTCAAAAACTTTCTTAACAGATTTATGCAAATGAGCATAGTCTGGATAGTCTTTGGAATACTAGTAAATAAATATTTCTTATTATTTAAAAATTTTAGCAAATCTAACATTTTTTTAATTAAATGAATAATTTTAATTAATTAAATTTTTTTAAATAGACTACGTCTGTTTGGAAAACTTTGCACGAATAGAGCTAAATATTCAACAATATTTAGCCTAGCTGGATAATTTAATTGATATATGCTATTTAAGTGTATTCAACTCAAGCGCCTATTATAGTTTATTCTATGATAGACATTTGCACAATTTTGTAGAAGTTTATTGTTGAACGAAAATATGGAAAACAATAAACATAAATAGTAATAAATAATCCTGACGCTGTCTCTAATTTATGTCATATTGACTATGCTGTTTTTAGCTAAACTGGAACTATAACTCAGAAAGACTAAGAGGAAATTGTGGGCATTAATTTATGATGGAAAGTTTTTCTAAGTCAATGAGTCCATGATGAGAGGATTATAGGAAAAGCAACAATAAAAAAATATGTTTACTGAATAATAATACGAAAAACAAAATACCAATCAAAAATACAATAATAGTCCAAACAATGTCAACAATACTTAGCTTATAGAATTGTCCAATTTAAAAACTCTTCAGTAAGATGGATTGTTACAAACGCAATATAACGCAGTTAGGATGAATTCTATGGGAGAAGTTAAATACCATTCCTAACAATGATAATACTTTTATTAATGACACATCTTATTTTCAAACTAATAAATCAATAAATGAAAATAACATCAGTTAATTTGAGAGCAAAGCAGGAAATCGTAACAGCGAAAATAGTAGCATTAATATTTCTAATCCTTTGAATCCAAACAATAATTTTTTCACGTTTAAGAAACATCCAAAAAATCAAGAACATATATCCTTTCTTGATATTCATGATAAGAACAATAAAAATGAGGGAGATGAGTATAGTTTACAACAAGCATCGCAGAATTAAATAAGTAGTTAGTCTAACATTAAATAAGATCTTGATTTTGTGCAAAGAATTTATACAAAAACTGGCACTCACACCTATCTAAATATGTTAGATAATGCAGACTAGATTATAAAAGAAGAAGAAGATATCGAGACTGCAAGAGATCCCTCAAGCAAGGCTATAAGTTTCAAACACTCTTAAAATATATATATTGAGGGGCAAGAAAATCCAATTAATATATAATCATAATGCATATAAACTCCCCATCTAAAAATAACTGAAAATCTAGGTTTTTTACAAGAACCGTAATTGCCTAATATATTAAATTTGCTAAAAGAAGAATAAACAAACACAGACAAAGACAAGCTTAACTAGCCTAAATAGGAAGTAATGATTACAAAATTGTAAACATTTATGGAAGATTTAGGTAAAACCTAATCTATATCAAATAGCCAATCCAGAGATGGAAGAACCAATTCCGTCATGACTGTATAAAAAAATTTATTTATTAAAATAATTCTTTTAATTAATTATAATTTATTTGTTACTAGGTTACGAATAGAAGCATCCCTCTTGAAAAGGCTAACTAAAAAGAAATTCCAACATTCTCTAGTTATATCAATAAATCTAAACTCACAACTAGCTCCAACAACAATGCAGAAGTATAAGATCTCTAAATATTGTAAAACGATAACTCAAAACCTGACTCAAATTAGTAATTAAAATAGTTATTTTTTTTAAATCAATTATAAAAAATTAAATATTGACTTAAAGCATTTAAAATTCGTTGAAATTTTTAATTAAAGATGAAATATTTTTTTTTCATTAAAAAAAATAATTACCAGAATAATTTGAAGCTTTTAAAATTAATTGAAATCTTTAATTTAAGATGAAATGTTGTTTTTTTCATTAAAAAAAATAATTGCAAGAATAATTTGAAGCTTTTAAAATTAATTGAAATCTTTAATTATCTTTAATTAAAGATGAAATGTTGTTTTTTTCATTAAAAAAAATAGTAACAATAATAATTTGAAGCTTTTAAAATTAATTGAAATCTTTAATTAAAGATGAAATGTTGTATTTTTCATTAAAAAAAATAAATGCAAGAATAATTTGAAGCTTTTAAAATTGGCAGAAGTTTTAAATTAAAGATTAATGCTTTTTTTCATTAAAAAATAATGAAGCTTTTAAAGTTAATTGAAATTTTTAACTAAAAATGAATGGTTGGTTGTTTATTCATTAAAAAAAATAATTGCTAGAATAATTTTAAGTTTTTAAAATTATTTGAAATTTTTAATTATTGAGAATGGATGTTTTTTCATTAAAAAAAATAATTACTAGAATAATTTTAAGCTTTTAAAATTTGTTGAAGTTTTAAATTAAATATGAAAGGTTATTTTTTAATTAAAAGAATAATCTGATAGAATAATTTGAAGCTTTTAAAATTTGTTGAAGTTTTTAATTAAAGATTAATGGTTGTTTTTCAGCTATTAAAATTAATTGAAATTTTGAATTAAACATGAAATGTTGTTTTTTTCATTAAAAAAATAATTTTCTAGAATTATTTGAAAATTTTATAATTAGTTGAAATTTTTGTTTAAAAATTGAAAGGGTTTTTTTTGATTAAAAAAATAATCTGATAGAATAATTTTATTTAATTTGTCAATTAATTATTTGAGAAAACAAATTAAAATGATTTAATTTTTAATAGAAAGAAAAGTGGAAGGTTTTTTCAAGAAGTTGAGAAGGTATTCAATCAACAAAATCTAGGGTAATAAGAAAGCTAAAACAAAGAGAGTGATACTGGTAGTCTTAAAGAAGATTTAGATTTACAATAAATATAAACTAATTTGTTAATATCTCACGAGAAGAAGCATTCTAATCATAGTAGAAGTAGCAGCTAGAATATTAATAGCAGTCGTTAACAGAGCACTAGTAAATATAAGGTAATCAGACCATAAGCAATAAATATTGAATAGATTTACATTCAAAATAAAAGAGATACCAATCTGTTAAAAGAATTTCGCCCTGTTCAAGATATTGATTAAGGGGAGATGAAAACACCTAAATTACCATTTGATTAGTAGCAAACATAATAATTAAATAATTCGGATTTTGAAAAAAATATTAATAATACAACTTTTTAACATGCAAATAACATTTAAAATACAAGCGAAAATTAAACAAATCCTAACATTAATAATAATAACACAGACACTTATACATAATTTGATGCTAGAAGAAAGAATTATGTGTAAAGAGAAATATATAAATTTAGCGAGTATTAATATACACCAACTCCTCTAATTGAAAATATGCATTCTCAATTAACACTAGAGCACATGTATGAAGAACTAGAAACAATCGAGCATCAATAACAATATTTTAATGCTCCACATTTAGAAAACCCTACAGCTGAGTTTATTAAGTCTATGGTTCTCTGTCATTAAATAAAAACAAAAAAACCAAAAGAAAGTCAAGACGGAATATATATACACGATTTATCTTCCCATGAAGAAAATATTTTGTAGAGATTAGCCTTGACTCTCGATGTCCCCTTTATCTATTCAGGAGCTTTTAATAGCAAAAAATTTTATTAAATTAAATTCAAAAACAGAGAATTAAGATACGAAATAAAAGGTAAAACAACAAATTATTTTTTTTTTTAAATTTTAGTGCAATTTTAAAGTCAATTTTTTCAATTGGAATTTGATAAATAAAAATTAATTTAATTTGATTTTTTTAATAATTAAAAACAAATTGTTTTGATATTTTTAGGAGTTAACACATATTCGCAAGAAAGAGGAAGATTTTCTATAATATTAAAAGAACAAGCTCTAATAGATCACACATAAGGAGGAATAGGAAGCAATCATACTCCAAGTTCTCCAGATAGAAAAAAAAATAGCTAAAATGAAGATAAAAAATAATTTATGCTTGTGAGAGGTGATGAAAAATCAATCCTACACAAATGCTTAATGTCAAAAACTGAAAAAGATAAATTGAATAAACTGCTTAATAATTTTTCTATGAATGGTATGCATTTCATAATTTATGCGAAGAAATATGTGACGAATAGTTAGATATCTGATTTTAAGAAATAAATATAAATGGCACACTAAGAAGCAAATGATTAAACTGAAACAATCATAGATAATTTTGAATCTGATCTTACTCTTTTAGGTATTGTTTGCCTTCGCTAGAAGATGGTCCCAGATATTCACCAAACAATAGATATTATTAGAAATTCTGACATTTGCACTTGGGTGCTTTCAGGAGACAAACAATAAAAAGCAATAGCAGCCGCTTTATAAGCAGAGATTATAGCTCCTCATTCCGAATTTCTTGTTATCGACTAAACAAAGTAATTTTTTAAATTAACCAATAAATTTTTAGCGATTTATGAATAGAAAAAATAAGTTAACATTTTGTAATAATTAATCAGCTATGACGAACTTAAGTATCAGATAAAAAGTCATTTGCTATAAGTGCAAAAGCTCATTTTAAAAGAAGATGAGGATACAAACTCTCCATCTCCTTCTTATAGATCCAAAGCCAATTAAGTTAGAACCAGAAGACTCTCCTCTATGGTAGGACACAAAGGAAAGGGAGACTCATAAGATTAAATGAATAGACTAGTTTTATAAGTTAATGGAAATTCTCTATTGCAAATTTTAAAAGATCCCTATCTTAAAAGTCACTTCAGTTTTTTGTGTATGATCTGTAAAAGCGTTATTGGCTATGATTTTTCACATGAAGAAAAGGCTCACATGACCCAGCTAATTCATGAGTCATTTGTTGTTAAACCCACAGTCTTAGCAATCGGTGCTTCATGGTGTAATTACTTTTATTAAAAACAAATTATTTTATTTAAGCAATTTAATAAACAATAAATAAAAGTATTGAATTAAAATTAAAAATACATGATTTTTTAATAAAAAAGTATAATTTTAAGTATAAAATAAAACATGATTTTTGAAGAAAAAAAACATAGCATTTGAATAAAAAAAAGATGATTTTTGAATAAAAAAACATGATTTAAGAATTAAAAAAATATCATTTAAAAATTTAAAACCATAATTTTTGAATAATAAAAACACAATTTTAAGTATAAAAAAATTATTTTAGAATAAAAAAACAAAACATTTCAATGAAAAATGATGATTTTTGAATACAAAATATAATATTTCAATAAAAAAAACATCGTTTAAGAATTAAAAACCATAATTTTTGAATAATAAAAACATAACTTTAAGTAAATAAAAAAATGATTTTAGAATAAAATACCATAATTTTGAGTACAAAATAAAAAAAGATTTTAGTATTAAAAAAAACATAATTTTTGAGTAAAAAAATATAACATTTGAATAAAAAATGATTTTAGAATTACTAATCTTTGAATAAAATAAAATTTAAGTTTCGTATAAAAATATAAATTGATTTATAACAAAAAGGCGATTCTTGGATGATGAACGTTGCTGACGTTTCTTTGCAGATCGATTCTCCAGGAGATAGAGCTAATACTCATCAGAAAAGAATGTTGGGCGATATTTTAATAGACAGACTAAAAGACTTCAAAAAGAGTATACTGGATGAGTCTATACATTTATAGGAGAAGATTAGGTCTTTAGTTATTTTAATTTTTAAATACTCTTTCTTCTACACTTTGCTAAATTACATTAATGCGCTCCACAGCTATCAATACTATACCTTAGCAGTTTAATATAATTAAATTCTAATGAATCATTTTCTTTAGATTATTATTTCTTCTTTCTTCTTGTTTAGTGGTAGATTCAACACAACAAGGAGCTGTGTTATTAACGTATATCCCTCTTTTTATCGCTTTTGCAAGAACTACTTTTCATGGATAAAATCCCATTTCTTAGAAACTATTATTATGGGAGCTGTTGAGGGCTTAATAGTATCTATTCTGTTAGAGGATACTTTTTTTGGATACAATAGTTCAGATGGAAGACTGCGAGATGACAAAACTGTGTCTGATCTTCTATGTATAATATACACTCTTTCGCTTGTAATAATGACTTAATGTCTTAATGGTATTTTCTCCCTTAAAGCTAGGATTCTCCATTTATTTTTCTCTATAGTCCAAATAACTCTCACATTAGTGTAAATTAACATTTTTTGAAATCTCTTAAAGAAATTAAAAATTTCATAATTAAATAACAAAAAAGGTGGAATCAACACTTAAATCTGAACACTGATTTGTATGTAGTCAATCTCACAGAAACTCTCAATTAATCATGTGTATGGATTATGTTCTTCTCAGTAAGTCTTTTTATATGGACATTCGAAATGCTCTACCAAAAAATACTCAGAAAATATATTACAAATGATATCATTAGGAAATTCATAAAAGAATAATCAGAAAACATGAATTTCTAAGGCTTGCTAGGATTAAAGCCATACCAAAACTACATCAAAAACTTAAAAGCTCATCCAACCATGAACCCCTAATTTTATGCAAACCTCTTCAAAGCCTTATTTACTCATGTTGAGATGGATGGATTCTTGAGAAAAAGTATTTTTATTAATAAACTTCTTCATTTATCATTTAAATTATTTCGTTTATAAAAACTTCTAATTTTCTTTCGATTAAGAGAAAAATTAAATCTTATCTTTATAACCACAAATTTATAAAAATTTTACAAAATAAATTAAAATCTAAATAAATTTTTATTAATCTCTTTTAATTCAATATTCATTTAACCAGTTTTTCTCATCATTTATTATTTTAATAATTTGATAAAATTTTCTCATTTAATTTTTAATTAACTTTTTTGATTGTAAGAATGGATAATAATCGCTAATTTTATTTTTTCAAATCTTCATTTTTTATTTTAATAATTTGATAAAATTTTTTAATTTAATTTTTAATTAACTTTTTTGATTGTGGTTAAACATTTTGATTTTAAAATTCTTTTAAAAAATTATTTAGTCATTGACCCTGGTGAGAAAGTAGAGAATTTATCCGGAATCGATAAATTAAAGCTGAAATTCAATGACGAAAGGTTAGAGAAAAGTTATAGAAACCATAAGTTATAATTTGTTTGGACAATATATTTAAAACCAATTACACTTATGTCGTTTATTCTTTTACTGTCTACCATATTTTATCTGATATACAATTAAAACAACAACACTTATCAATTAATCCTTGATATATTAAGATTAATAGTTGAGTTTTGCTCTACTGTAGCATATGCAACTATTTGGTTCCATAAAAAATTTAGTGTTTTCTAGCTCAGCAATATCATTAAAATTAATGTAAAAGATTTATTTTTTTTTAATTAATTAATTACTAAAGCTAATATTTATTAATATTTTAAATAAAAATTAAAATAGATAAGAGTTCTGCTTTCAACTATTTTGGTTCTGTATTCTATATCGATTGTCTTTTATGATGATAGTGAAATGAATCAAATTCTTTAAGAACACTTGGTATTATTTGCTATATTAAGTTGGGATGCTATTCCTCCTCCTTTCATTTTCCCAATTGTGCTTAATCTGCTTAATTATATCAGCCTTTTCATATTTGTTATTGCAATTTAGAATTAGGGATCAGAATAAAACCTATAAATTTACTATAAAGCTACAATCACTGTTGTGTTATTCTTTTATTCTCTATTGAACATCGGATCTTATTACAATAAAGATTATTTGAGAAGGGATCTCTTCTTGATGGAAAACAGAATCAAATTCGAAGAAAATAAAGTTGATCACGTACTTGCTAATCTTCTTCCTAATTTCGTCAGAAGCAGGTTTAACAGAAGTAAATTTTTTACAAAATAAATTCTTTGAATTCATTTAAAAAAATATCTCATTTTCAATATTATTTTTGAAATAAAAAAATGGTTTGATTTAAAAATAAAATCAATTTCAATAAAATAAAAATTATAATTTTTTTTGATAATTTATTAAATTAAAATTCAAATAAATGAATAAAAAATATTTTTTAACTTTATTAAAGATGGCGATACAAATATAGAAGAAGATCAAGGTGAGGTTGCGATTGTTTTTGTAGAAATTGTTTCTTTTGATGAGATTTTAAAAGAGTAAGATGAGAATTTCATTCATTGGTTAGATAATCTTTACAGAAGCTTTGATTATGTTTGCTAGCGTTATGGCGTTCAAAAGATAGAAGTAAGCAAACATTTTTATTTATTATTTTGAGAGATTAATTAATCAATCATTTTAATTATAGACAGTAGGTAAAGTATACATGGCTTGCAGTGGATTAGATGTAGCTAAACATTAGAAAGCTAAAAAGGGCAATGACAGAATCTGGAGGGAAAATGAAACCAAGAAGGCTCTCGATGCAGCTTTCGCTATATAGAAAAAGGCATAGAAGATCTATTGGGGATCTAAGTCTCAAAAGACTACTTTAAAAATTGGTATCCACTATGGAAGAGTTATTGCTGGTGTTATCGGATATCATAAACCTCAATTTAGTCTTATCGGAGATACAGTAAATACCACTTCTAGAGTGTGTTCTCATTGTGAAGCGAATAACATCACTCTTTCTTAGCAAGCTCATGAAAGAGTCAAAGACTAAGACTATGTATCCAAGGGAGAAATCGTTAAAAATGTCAAGGGAAAAGGTGATTTGCAAGTTTACAAATACTTTAAAAGAGAAAAACTCTTAAGAAGAAGTAAATTTTTTATTTTTCAAATATTTTTATTTGTTATTTTCATACAAAAAATATTCAATTTATTTTTTTTATTGACAGATTCTGATAAAGATTTATCTCTGGATAATACGCCTTACTTGAAAAAGAAGTTAACTGAAGGAGAAAAAAGAAGTCCTTAACTATTAAAATCGTTCTCATTATAGGGAAATGCTCTTTTAACTCAAAATAATATTAAAACTCTATTTTAATTTCCTTAAAACGGAAACGCAAATGGGTCACCTCATAATTAAAATAATTTAGGAAATATAAATAATTAGAATTAGTCAAACAATAACAGTAACAATAATAGTAATATAATACCATCAATTAGTTCTATAAATTAATCTTCAAGATAGAATAGCTAGTGTGGAAATAATTAGACAACAACTGCTGCATTAACTACTACCAACAACAACAGCTCGCTTTATCCTTAGCATACCATTCAACATTATAATAGAGCGGCCACGAAAAAACCAAGTTAATACATCAGAAAGAGCTCGTTTGAAAATCTAGAATAGCAAAGCACTCCTTCTTCAAAATCAAAAACATTCAATTAACTAAATATGATTGATCTCTCTCCAAAAAGAAAATCTAAAAGAATGTCAAACACTGTTGTGATTCCAAGAGTCAGCATTGTTAGTAAATTTGATGACCTCGAAATAGACGAAGAAGAAATTGAGCCAGAAAAATAATTCAACATAGCAAACAGTGAAAGTTAGTATATAAACTAGCAAGATGAAGAAAAGGATGAAAAAGGAACAAGCACCAATCTTTCCTAAAAGAATAATTTAAAATCTCCTCAGCTAAGTAAAAACAATGAGAATTTCTTTAAATTTTTGATCAAAAATTAATAAAAAAAACAAATAAAAAGAGAATTTTAACATAAAAATGAATGAAAAAGCATTTTATTTTTAATATTTTGTTATTTATTTTAATATTTTTATTTTTATCAATATCAGATAAACAGGAATAGGAGACCAATAATGCTGCTTATTTATAGATTAAGAATCGTTGGTTGCTGACTTTGGAAAACGAAAAGGAAGAAACTGTTATGAAATTTAAGAAGATGATTCGTAAAGATTTATAAAAATCATATCAAATTAGTTCTTTTATTGTGATTGCAGTACATTTTTTCAAAACACTTATGCTTTTTGTGATAGGAGATGTGCTTTAAAGTAAAAGAATGACAGTATTAATCACTATAAGAATGATATTCGAAATTGTGCTATTTATACTCATGATTTTATATTCTAAAGCTCTTAACTCGAACTTTTTAAACTACATCAACTTAATATTCCTATTCATCTCTGTGATTTTCCTATAGGTCCTCTCAGGACAAGTGTTTGATCAAGAGAGCTTTAAAACTCTTCTAATTATAGACTACTTTGAGGGCGCTTTGGCTTAAAATGTTATCTCCAACTTCTCGACATTTTCTTTCTAGTAATCACTGATTTTCAATATAATTTACAGCGCAATATGGATCTACAACATCAAAACAAGCTTTATTTAAATTGCCCTTGTTGTGTGCTTGTCTGTTTTTGAAATCATGAGAAACTTTTTTAGACAGAGACTTTACATTTAGAATTATAACCAGATAGTCAAACTCGACAACAAAAAAACTGAAAAAGATTCTCTCCTTCGCCATCTCCTCCCTCAGCATGTTCTCACTAAATTTTTCTAAGACCAACAAAAAAAATAAGAATTTTAAGAAACTTTGCAAGATGTCACCTTGCTCTTTGCAGATATTTCAGGTTTTACAAGCTACTCCAGCAAATCTAGGCCTGAAGACGTTGTTAAAATGTTGCGTGAGCTCTTCATCGAATTCGATAAATCCTGCATCACTAGAAATGTATATAAAGTCTATACAATTGGAGGTAAATGAAAAAACATCATTTTTTAATAAAAGCTGAATTTAAACAAAAAATTATCATTTAATTACAAAATATTTAATAAAAGCTGAATACAAAATAATAAATACTCAAAAATAAATAAATAAAAAATAATAGATTGCTATGTAGTGTTAGGAATGACGAACATAAACAATAGAATAATACATGAAGAAGCTAAAAATGTAGTGGATATGGGTTTCTCTATGATTAAGACAATTTAGTACGTTAGGGATAAAGTGAATAACTCAGACCTTTAAATGAGAATAGGAATCCACACAGTAAATAAAACTAAATATAAATTTTATTAATAGATTTAATAAATTAAATTAAAAGGGAAAGATTTTAGGAGGAATATTAGGAACGAATATAGTCAGATACGATATTTTTGGAAAGGATGTCATGATAGCCAATAAGTAAAATTTAATTAAATTACAAATTTTATATTGAATTTGAATATTTATTTTTAGGGTCGAGTCAAATGGTGTAGGTGGATAAATCTCTGTCAGCGAAGCAACAAAGGTTCTTCTCGAGAATAATTACAAAGATATTTTCTAATTCAAAGATCATAATCCCATTAAACTCAAAAACTTTGAAGAGGAAATTAAAACCTATCTAGTGAAACAAAAATGAAATAATTACCAATTCAATCAATTATCTAAAATTAAAATGGAATTTAAAATTTCTTTCTATTTCAAAACAAAACAAAATTAAATTACCAATCTAAAGTTGTTTAAACATAAAAAAATAAATATTTACATCGATCAATGCATGCATAACACAGTCACACGCAATACAAACAAACAAACAGACAAACAAATAACTAACCTATTAAAATATTAACCAAATTTAATTATTGTAAACAACTAAATTAATTATCTTTAAAAATTAACCACCATATATATAAATAATTTTAAATATTTTAATAAAAAACTAACAAATCAACTAAAAAATAACAAACAAACAAACAATAATTAATTGCTTATATTCATTCCTTGGACTGATCTTACCCTCAACATGTTTTATATTTATTATTTACAATTAAAACTAACTAACTCACTCACTAACTAACTTGTTTTTAAAGTATATCAATAAACCTTCTAAATTCATTTATTTTAATATCAAATTAAGATATTTATTCATAATCTCCTTTTAAAACTCTAAAGTATAAATTTTATTAATCTTTAAGATTAAATTACTCACACAATAATATTTTGAAACTATCTGTCTATTTTAATTAATATTGAAGAAACATTTTTACTTCCTCAATTTTTATTCTATTTGATTCCATAAAGGTTCCTCCTTATAAAATGAAATGAAAAAGTAGATTCTCCTTGTTCCAAATAAGAAATATATCAATAAATCTTAAAAATTTGTTACTATTTTTTGATAAAAAAAGATATTTTCATACAAAATAAAAGTGAATAAATCATAAAAATTATTAAATTTATTCTAAAAATAAATATTTTTATTGATTTTTGAATAGCAATTTTAAGAAACACAAAATAAATAAATATTTTAATTATTTAACTTGTTTTAATTAAATATTTATTTTTTAAATTAAACTTTTGTTTATTTATTTATTAGATTTTTTTATTTTTTTGTTATTTGTTTTATTTTAGTTAAAAGGTTTACTTTAATTTATCATTTAAAATTTTGTGATTTATTTTCGTTTATTTATAAATCTGATTATAAATCAACGCTTTTTTGCTGCTTTTATTTAACATGTTCTTAACAAATAAACAATTATTGATGGAATATTTGATTTTTCTATTTTAAAAATAGATAGATTTAAATAGATCATTCTAGATTTTAGTGTAAAAATTCTAATATTATAAGTGAGTAAGTAGTGTCTGATAGACAAATCGATAGACTTTTCCATATAAAATTTTTCTGATTTGAGCTAAAGATAGGAAATTTCTTTTTTTATTAGCTTGAGCGGTGAGGGTGAGCGCTTTAAATTATTGATCAGAGATAGGTGAATAACAAACAAACAAACAAATATTTATTATTTAATTAAAAAAATACAAAAACTTAATTAGCATCAAACTATTTATAGTAAAGCAATATCAAAATGTTGTCAAGAGCTATTTCAACCTTTGCAAAGAACCAAGTTCTTCAAAAATCACTTTATTAAGGAACTGCTCCTCTTTACAATTTCACAAGATTTTCTGAGAAGCTCAACAGAGTTAAGAGCAAATCCAATGAAGGTTTTGCCTAACCTGATAACGATTCAGCCATGCATCATGTTATTACTAATGATGGATTGAACGCTTTCATTACTAGAGTTTACAAGACTACAGGTTTAGGTATTATGGGTGCTTTGAGTACCTCTACTTTAGCCGTCTCTTCTGGTTTAGCATACACTAGTCCTCTTTTCTGCGGTCTCGGAGGATTCGTTATGGCTCTTGGAGGTATTTTGGGAAGCAGCTACATGAGTCCCAATTATTATTCTGAAGTCATTAAAGGATAAGTTCACTAAAAGACTTCTAACACTCCTATGAGATTGGGTCTCTACAGTTTAGGTATGGCTGGATTGGGATTGTCTTCTTCTGTCCTTTTCGGTTCTCTCCACATGATTAATCCTGCCATTTTACCTTTAAGTATTGGTATTACTGGTGCCGTTTTCGGTTCCGCTTCTCTTTATGCTCTTTACAAGCCAAAGGATTCTCTCCTCTCTTGGGGAAGCAGCTTATACGCTGGTTTATTCGGTATGATTGGTTTACAATTAGCTGGTGCCTTGACCCAACTCTTCATGGGTCCTAACTTATTTACATTCATGTGCCACAGAGCTGACTGCTTCATTGGAGTCGGTCTTTTCACTGCCATGGTTGCTTACGATACCCATGTTGCCATTAAATAATACGAAATGGGCAATGCTGATCACTTGGGTGTTTCTATCGATTTTGCTTTAGATTTCTGGAATATTCTTACACGTGTTGCTCAAATTTTGGGAATATATAGCAAGGACGATTGAAATCAAATAATTGATTGATTGACTCAATATGTTAGTTAGATTTTATAATTTTTAAGCAGCTTATTATTAATTTCCTCAATTGAAATAGAATTGATTTTTCTAGAAAAAAAAGCAATAAAAATGATCATTTTTATATAAATATTGTGTATTGAGTCATGAAATGCATAAGTTATAAAGTAAATCAAAATAAATTAATATAATTTACTTTATTAAACAGGCTATTTATGTCTATTTTTATAACTAATCAGTAACATAATTTCTTTATTCTTATTCTTTTTAAATATAGATTTTTCTAATTTATTTTTACAATCAATCAATCACTAATCTGAAATAAATACATAAATCAATCTTATATTGAAATTATTTCGAATTTTCATCAACAAATAAATTATTTCTATAATTAAAATTTACCACTATTAAATAAATTCAAAAAAGTTATTGCATAAAATGTATTATTTTATAAATTTATTTTGCCTTCAACTAAATTATACTCTTTTAATTATTTTAGTTTGCTCTTTCTAAATTTCTGAAATTAAACAAATTACAAAATAAAATAATAAAACATAAAAAATATATTTTAAAAGTGATTCAAATATGTTTTTAAAATAAATAAATATTTTACAACATAAAAAAATATTTAGATTTCTGTATTGAATTTAATTAGCACAATAATTTTTTCAAGTAATTTTTTAATTTAATTTTACGGAAAGAGTTAGCAATTTTTTAATTATTTTAATTATTTTTAAGTTCATTTTTTATTGATTGATTAAATAATTTCATATTATTAATTAGAATTTTATTATTTTCTAAATTAAAAGAATTTTTATTTCAAATCTTTTATTTTAATCTACTTTACTTCAATTAAAACTATATTAGATAATATTTTTTTAATTACATAATTACAAAATTCCTATATTAAAGTATTTCTAAATCTATCTTAAAAAATTAAGTATAAAGCAAATCAATTAATCATAAAATTATATTTTAAATAAGAATCAAAGTAGTGTTTCACAATAAATAAAAATTACTAAAATTATATCAAATATATTTAAATATTTAGATAATTTTATAAATTTATTATTAATAATTTTTTCAAATTGACAATTAATTTAGTTTAAAAATAAAAAAACTATTTAGAAAAGAATAATAAATAATTCATAGGGGTGAAATAAATATATTGAATTAATAAAAATACTTAGTTTTAAATAGCAATAAATACCTTTGAAAAAAATTATTTAAATTAGTTTTTTTGAAGTTTGTTTTTAAAAATAAAAAATAAATTGAACAAATAGCTCATAAAATTTATTTGATTTCTTGAGTATTTTGCGCTGGTTGCAATTTTTATGTGCGTAATCTCTTAATGATATACGTTTGTTAATAAATTTTTTATCACAATTATCATCTATTTACTATATATAGTTTCATTTAGTATTTGTTTCCTATTTATTAGAATTTATCTCATTTTATATTTGTTATACATTTTTAAATAGATAAATTCCTTAATCCAGACCTCCTTTGTATACAGGTTAGTGATTTTCTATCAAAAGACTCTACTACTCTTATGCTGAATCAAATCTTTAATTACTTTTAAGGCATTCTGTATAAAAGAAATTAGGAATATGCTAGGCAATTCTTAGCTAGTTGATGGTAAATTATTTATTGTTTTTGGAAGATTGGTCAAACTGAAGCTTTTCAGGATGAAATTAAGTACCATAGAAAGGATAGACTTTTCCTTCAGCTATTGAAACAAATTATTTTCCTTTTTAATCCTTGCTATAAGCTATGCAATTAAAATTTTAATTGATTTTTGGATTTTCTAAAAACTATTTCTTAGAGAAACCATGTTTGTGGTTATAATAAAAGAATTCTTCTTCTTCTAGACATTTTATTAAAGATTTTGATAATTTAGATAGAATTCTTGACTGTGTTTTTGCTTCTTTACTAAATATTTATTTTGCAAAATGGTTTTTGCTATCGAATTGGTTTCTAATTTCTTAATTAGAAAAGCTTAGAAATAATAACTCAAATCCCAAGCAAGTAGTCCATAAAGGAAAGTAGTTTCCTTTCTCGTTTTTCTTTTTAGCTAATTCTATCAAAAATATGGCTACTTTTGAAAATTAAGTAAATTTTTTTTCTTCTCCTTCTTGCACTCTCATCATCAAGTTAGCTCCACCTCCTGTTAAAACTAGCCCATTAACTTTATTCATTAAATTCTCCAAATTTTCTAAAGAGTCAGTCCAGTTTAATGGAATTATTCTCAAACCACTTTATTAGAAGTATTAAACATAAGATGTGTAGATGTAGGAGTATTCTTCTTTCGGATAACTCTAAAATCCTGATGGAATACTTAAAATAGCAATAACAGGAAAACTAATAAAACTGTTTTTGACACGAGAAACATTTGAAATACAACTTTTTGCATCGTTTTAATTTTGAATTTGAGAAATTTCTGAATTCTAAATGCCTTCATCATTTTCTTGTTTTAATTCTTCTTCTTCTTCTTAGTCACTTTAAAAAGCTATTACATAAAGCAAGAAATGGAACACTTAAAAAGAAATCAAAAAACTTAATTTTAAAATAAGTATTTACATTAATATTGAGCATTTGATGCTTAAAATTATTTATTATTACTATTCATTTTTATAGAAAATATAAAATGTATTGAAATAAGGCTAATATTAATAATATTTGATTGGTTGTTTGAATTTTTTTAATTTGTAATGAATATATCTTTGAACAATAAATTCTAAATTGTTGATTCATAAGATTTATAAATATTTATTTATTTAGTTTAGTTTATCAAATACTCCAAATTTTCTTTAGTTAATTTATTTTAAAAGCTAAATGCCTTACTAAAATCTAATGAAGTGGATTCACTATTTTTTAGAAAGGCCTTTATTTATAATACTTGTTTTTAACATTAAAATATTTAGAATAGTTTTTTATTTATCATCTTATTTATTTTAAATCAATTGAGCACATTCAATTTTTGTTTGTATGCATTTATTAACATAAAAAGTAAATATTTTATGAAAATATTTTAATATAGTTCTTCCAGTTATTAAATTCTTGTAGATGTGGAAATATAAGAATTGAATTCCTGGATTTGCTATTTATAAATTAGATTAATTAAATAAACAAATAATTTATTAAAAAATATTTGTTTTAAATTTTTATATCATTTAAGAAATTATATTTTTTATTTAAAATAGATTTTTATTTTTTTAAAATACAAATATACTTAATTAATTATTTTAAAAGAAAATATTAATTACCGTAAATCCTCATAAATTCTCATCATCATAAATTTTCACCATATTTCCTGAGTATTTATAATTAAAATTATTCTATTTTTTTTCAAATAGTAAATGAAAGTTTTTGTATTTTAGATGATGTACATTAAAAAATATATTTTATTTGTTTAAATAAGAAAGCTAAATATTTGTTATTATTATAATTATGAAAAAAAATGATATCTAGAGGATTTAGATATGACATAAAGTATATTGAGAATGCGAGCTTATTAGAATTAATACATTATTTTAATGAATTTTTTTGCAATTATTTAGATTTATTTTCATATTTTTTATAAATATTACCTTTTTAAAATAGTTAAATTTTTTTTTAAATGTTTCAAAGATTTAAGATTTTAAAGAAAATTAATCTAATTACAAAAACAAACACATAAAAATACATCAAAAATTTATTTTATTCTAGTGATAATGCATTCTTATTTTCCTTTATTTCTAATCTATAGTTCCTACTATAATTTTAAGTAAACATTTGAAATAAAAATATTAAGATTTAATAATAAATGCTACACTAACTTTTTTGTGATTTCTCTTACTAAATAAAAGCAAATTTATAAATTAATAAAATTTATTAATTCTATTTATCCTCCTAATAATTAATTAAATCTCCATTAATTGCTATTTACTATTTTTGAAAAAAAAATAAATGATATAATAGATTAAAAGATATTATAAATTAGAAGAAGTAATTATTAATTTTTTATCAAATAACTTTAAATTTATTTTGTTTGATATAAAAAGTTTTTAAACTCTTCACTTTAATCTCATCAGGTTCTCCATATTTATCTGAGGTATATTTCATTTATAAATATTCTCATTATAATAAATATTTTATACTTATTTAACTTTCAGTTTATTTTAATATTTGATATTTTTTATTCATTTTTTCCTTCTAAAACTTTACTAGATAAAAACTGTATATTAGTTTTGGATTGTGATGTTTTTACTTAAATAAATTAATTTATTACAAAAAAACTCTTTTTACTTGTTTGTTTATTACCTTTTTATTTTATTTTATTTAATTTTATTTTTCATTTTTATTGTATTTGTGTGTTTTTTTTCTTCTATCTTTCTTAATTGAACTGAACTCATATTTTTTTTTTAACATTTGCTTGTATTATTTTTTAATTCATTTCTTATTTGTTTATATTTTTACTTCATTTTTCCATCTAAATAATTAATTAATTATAATTTTTTTTCTCAATATTTATAAAGTTAAAATAAAATTGATGTAAAATGTGTATCAGGCTTAGGTTCTGCTTTAGCAAATTGCACAAATCTCTCAAATTTGACACTTGATCTTCGGTAAAAATAGTTTATTAGTTTTGGAGTAATTTTTTTATTTATAAAAATGAATTTAAAATAATATAGCTCTTTTAACTTACTTATGTTTTTTATTTGTTTTACTTTTTTACTATACTTTTGTTTTTTTATTTCTTCTATCTTTCTGAATTTAAATTATTTTTGTATTTTCAGCATTTACTTTTATTATTTATTATTTAATTTATTTCTTATTATTTAATATTTTTTGTTCATTTGTTCCTTCTAAATAGCTAATTAATTATTATTATTTTTTAATATTTAAAAAGTTTGAATTAAATTGGTGATTAGGGTATATCAGACTTAGGTTCTGCTTTAGCAAATTGCACTAATCTCTCAAATTTGACACTTGTTCTTCAGTAAAAACAGTTTATTAGTTATAAAAATGAATTTAAAATAATATAGCTCTTTTAACTTGTTAATTAAATTTCTATTTGAATTACTTTCTTTTTCTTTTTTATTGTTCTTGTGTTTTTTTATTCTATTTTTCTATATTTAACTCATTTTTTATAGATTTTTTTATTTATTTATTCATTTCTTATTATTTAAAATTTTTTCATCCTTTTTTCCTTCTAAATAGCTAATTAATGATATATTTTTTCTTCAATATTTAAAAAGATACAATTAAATTGGTGGTATATACATACATACATACATACATACATACATACATACATACATACATACATACATACTCGCACATGGTGACATGCACTCGGGATAGGGGCCCTATATATAATTACTTATACATTATTATTATACGTATACCAATTTATTTATATATAATTGTGGGTAATATACTAGAAGGGAAGGGTCACCTACACCCTAATGGCATTTCTACTAATCTTCCATGATTTGACTACGCATTATGCTCGCTTCCCATTTGTATTCCAGATCTTCTGTTCAGAATGGGGCCTCCTCTTTACCACCTATCAGATTTGGCCCTTCCCTCCTACCAAGGAGACCGCTGGTAACATTCACATTTTTACATGGAATTTTTCGAAATAAAGGGGGCGGTATAGGATTCGAACCCCCGATATCACTGCTAAGACCCTTCGACTCGCCCACTCGAGCCGCTTAGCCCTTCTTAAATTGGTGGTTAAGGTGCATAAGGCTTAGGTACTGCTTTAAAAAATTGCATTAATCTCATAAATTTGACACTTGATCTTGGGTAAAAGCTGTTTATTTGTTTTGGATTATGATACTTTTAGTTATAAAAATAAATATTTAACAATTTACTCTTTTAACTTGTTTTTTAGATTTTTATTTGATTTACTTTTCTTTTTTATTGTACTTGAGTTTTTTTTCTTTCTATCTTTCTTAATTTAACTCATTTTTTTATTTTCAATATTTGCTTTAATTATTTTTAAATTCGTTTGTTATTATTTCAAATTTTTTCTTCCTTTTTTCCTTCTAAATAAATAAATAACTAATTATTCATATTTTTAATATTTAAAAAGTTGGAATTAAATTGGTTCAAAAGGTGCATCAGGCTTAAATTCTTATTTAGCGTATTGCACTAATCTCTAAAATTTGAAACTTTCTCTTAGGTAAATCAGTTTATTTGTTTTAGATAGTAATATTTTTTTTAATAGAAAAGAATTTAAAACAATATAGCCCATTTTGCTTATTTATTAGATTTTTATTTGATTTCTTTTCTTTTTTATTGAACTTGTGTTTTATTTCTCTCTATCTTTATTAATTTAACTCATCTTTTTATTTTCAATATTTGCTTTTATAATTTATTTCATATTTTTCTTCATTTTTTTCTTCTAATTTTTAATTATTTGTATTTTTTTTTCGATATTTAAAAAGAGCAAATTATATTGGTGATCAAGGTGCATCATGCTTAGGTTCTGCTTTAGTAAGTTGCACTAATTTCTCAAATTTGACACTTGATCTTGAGTAAAAACAATTTATTTATTTTGGATTGTGATATTTTTTAATTACAAAAATGAATTTAAAACAATAAATCTCTTTAACTTGTTTATTAGATTTTTATTTGATTTTAAGTGTGTTGTTTTTTCTTTCATCTTTCAAAATATAACTCATATTTTTATTTTGGACATTTTTTTCTTAATTTTTTCCTTACTTAATTTTTTGTTTTTTCATCAATTTAAAAAGATAGAATGAAATTGGTGACTAAGGTGCATCACTCTTAATTTCTGCTTTAGCAAATTGCAATAATCTCTCCAATTTGACACTTTTTCTTGAGTAAAAACAGTTTATTTGTTTTAGATTGTGATATTTTTAGTTATAAAAATGAATTTAAAACAATAAACATTTTTTATTCGTTTTTTATTTTATTTAGTTACCCTATAATACAATCTAAGTAGTAAATTGATAATTTTACTACCGTGGGTACTTATGTTTAAGAGGATGAAAAAAATAATTTTTAAAAAAAACTTCATCCTTAAAAATAATAATAGATTTGAGAATTTTCTTTTAAAAATTTACTAGTTAGAAGATATTCTACAGTATATTTTACTTTTTTATTGTACTTGTGTTTTTTCTTCTTCTATCTTTCTTAATTTATTTAACTCTTTTTTTATATTTTCAGCATTTACTTATTTTATTTTTTATTTCATTTCTTACTATTTCATATTTTTTCTTCATTTTTTCCTTTTAAATAACTAATTAATTAGATATTTTTTCTTCAATATTTAAAAAGTGAAAATTAAATTAGTGATTAAGGTTTATCAGGCTTAGGTTCTGCTTTAGCAAATTGCACTATTCTCACAAATTTTACTCTTACTCTTGAGTAAATTTACTTTATTTGTTTTAATTTGATTTATTTTACTTTATTCTTTTTTTCAATTTGTGCTTTTTTTCATTCTTAATTTTTTTATTTTAAACATTTACTTTTATCATTTATTCATTCATTTCTTATTATTTAATATTTTTTCTTCATTTTTTCCTTCTAAATAACTAATTTCATTATATTTTTTCTTCTATTATTACATAGTAGGAGTTATATTGATGATGAAGGTGCATCAGGCTTAGGTTCTGCTTTAGCAAATTGTACTAATCTTTCAAATTTGACACTTTATCTTAGGTAAAATAGTTTATCTGTTTTGAATTGTGATATTTATTTTTAGTTATAAAAATTAATTTAATAAATAAAGATCTTTAAACTTGTTTATTAGCTTTTTATTTGATTTACTTTTCTTTTTCTTTTTTATTGTACTTATATTTTTTTTCTTTTATCGTTCTTAATATAAGTCATATTTTATTTTCAATATTTGCTTTTATTATTTACTAATTCATTTGTTAATATTTCATATTTTTTCTTCATTTTTTCCTTATAAATAACTAATTAATTTGAATTTTTTTCTTATATATATAAAAAGAAACAATTAAATTGGTGATTAAGGTACTTCAGACTTAGGTTCTGGTTTAGCAAATTGTATTAATCTCTCAAATTTAACACTTAATCTTGGGTAAAAACAGTTTATTTATTTTGGATTGTGATATTTTTATTAAAAAAAAAGGAATTTAAAACAAAATAACTTTTTTAATTTATTTATTAGCTTTTTATTTAATTTATTTTTCTTTTTTTAATTGTAATTTTGTTATTTTTTCCTCTATCTTTCTTAATTTAACTCATTTTATATTTTCAAAATTTACTTTTATTATTTTTTATTAATTCATTTCTTATTATTTCTTCAATTTTTCCTTCTTAATATCTAATTAATTATATATGTTTTCTTCAATATTTAAAAAGTTTGAATTCAATTGGTGATGAAGGTGCATCAGGCTTAGGTTCTGCTTTAGCAAATTGCACTAATCTGTTAAATTTGAAACTTAATCTTAGGTAAAAATAATTTATTTGTTTTAGATTGTGATATTTTTAGTTATAAAAATGAAACAAAATAGCTCTTTTAAATTATTTATTAACTTTTTATTTGATTTATTTTTATTTTTTTAATTGTAATTGTGTTGTTTTTTCTTCTATTTTTCTTAATTTAACTCATTTTTATATTTCCAACATATTTTTTTATCATTTATTAATTTATTTCTTCTTATTTCATATTTATTTTAAATCATTTTTTCCTTCTAAATAACTAATTAATTATACATTTTCCCTTTAATATTTAAAAAGAGCCAATTAAATAGGTGAAACAGGTGCATTAGGCTTAGGCTCTGCTTTAGTAAATTGCACTAATCTCTCAAATTTGACACTTGATCTTGAGTAAAAACAGTTTATACTTATTTATTTTGGATTGTGATAATTTTAGTGATAAAGTAAATTTAAAACAATAGAGCTCTTTTAACTTGTTTATTAGATTTTAATTTGATTTACTTTAATTTTTCTTTTTTATTGTACTTGTTTTTTATTCTTATATCTTTCTTAATTTAACTCATTTTTTTATTTCAACATTTATTTTTATTATTTTTTAATTTATTTCTTGTTATTTCATATTTTTTGTTCATTTTTTCCTTCTAAATAACTAATTAGTTATTTACTTTATCTTCAATATTTAAAAAAGGGAAAATATAATAAGTGCATCAGGCCTAGGTTCTGCATTAGCAAATTTCACCAATCTCTCAAATTTGACACTTATTCTTGAGTAAAATCAGTTTATTTATTTTGGATTATGATATTTTTATTTATAAAAATAAGTTTAAAACAATAATTTGTTTATTTTTATTTGATTTAGTTTTCTTTTTCTTTTTTATTGTTCTAGTGTTTTTTTTCTATTATAATTTAATTCATTTTTATATTTTCAACATTTGCTTTTATCATTTATTAATTTCTTTTTATTTCATATTTTTTCTTCATTTTTTCCTTCTAAATAACTAATTAATTTTATTTTTTTCTTCAATATTTAAAAAGATCCAATTAAATTGATAATGAAAGTGTATAAAGCTTAGGTCCTGCTTTAGCAAATTGCAATACTCTCTCAAATTTGACACTTAATCTTAAGTAAAAACAGATTATTCGTTTTTGATTGTGATATTTTTACTTATAAAAATAAATTTAAAATAATATAGCTCTTTTAACTTGTTTATTAGCTTTATTTGATTTAATTTTCTCTTTCTATTAATTTTATTTGTGTTATTCTTAATAAGTAATTAATTAATTATATATTTTTTCTTCAATATTTAAAAAGGGAAAATAAAATTGGTGTAACAGGTATATTAGGCTTATGTTCTGGTTTAGCAAATTGCACTAATCTCTCAAATTTGAGACTTGATTTTTCGTAAAAATAGTTTATTTGTTTTGGATTATGATATTATTACTTAACAAAATGAATTTATAACAATAAAACTCTTTTAATTTGTTTGCTTGCTTTTTATTTGAATTATTTTCGTTTTTTGATTTATTAATTTTAAATATTTTACTAATTAAAAAATTTTATATATATTTAATTATTTTTAGTATTTTATTTTAATTTAATATAAAAGTTATTTCTAAGTAGATGAATCATAATATTTGTAAGTAAAAAGCAAGTGTTTTAAATCAAAAAGATTAGTTATCTTTTAAATAAATTACTTCGGTTGTTGATAGACAAAAGTGATGAAAAATGGATGAATAAATATTAAATTTTTCAATAATAGAAATGAATATGTTTTATTTTAAAATATTTTGAAAAAGATAATTTAAAATATATTTATATAATTGTTTATTTTATATATATGGATAACATATTTTGGTAAGTTAATAAATAGATTATTAAATTTATGAAATTTTTCAAATTAATATTGGAAATATTTTTAATTAATTAGAAAGTTGTAACAGGATAAGGATTATAAAAATAAGATTATATATTTAAAATTTAGTTTATGTAAGCATATCTATCTATCAATTAATAAATCCTTCTATACTTATAAAATAAAAATGCGTTTAGGAATAAAGATGAAAAATAATAAACAAAAAGATAGAAGATCTAATCGATAAATTTAACAACTAAAATTTAATAGCAGGAAAATATCACTATTTTATTTTATAAAACTGCAGGAAATATCTTTAATTAATTAGAAAATTATTACTGGATATAAGAATAATAAAAATCAGAATAACATTTGATACTATTGTTTTAAGATTAAATATAATATTTCAAGAAGCAAAAATTTAGAAGAAATAAAAAAAATTAATTAGCTGTAAAAAAGATGGAATTGAATTAACTATAAAATGTAAAATTAATTTATCATATTTGGCATTTGTAATTTATTTTTTTAATAAATATTTTTTATCTTAAATAAAAGTTTTTTAACTCGAATCTAAATTAGCATGAAAGAATTTTTTTATCAATAGAGTAACAATTTATTAAACTTTTTTTATTAAATGAAAAAATATTTATTTATTAATTGATTTTGTTTAGTAATGAATTCATAAATGAAGAAAATTCAATTGATCTTGCAAATTGTATAAAAAAATGTTAAAATCTTTAGGAATTAGGACTAAATATAACGTTTGATCACTTTTTAAATTTTAAATAATAATTAATTTTAATTTTAATATAAATTAATAAGTTTAAGTTAAATCAGTGAAGAGAGATTGTACTAACTATATCAAGCTCTTAAATTTTGTCCTAATCTTTAAAGCTTAAAATTGATTCTAGAGTATATATTTTACTTGAAAAGATTTAAATTTACTTTAATATTAATAATTAAAAGATCAGACTAACAGTCTGTGGTAAGTATTTTTGGTCTTGGAGATTCATTAGAGAAGTGTGATAAATTGAGAGAATTCTCTATCGATATAGCGTAAATACATTAATAAGATACAAATATTATTAATTTTATTTTTAATTAGTTATAATCATATCCAGCCTGAACAAATTTGTATGCTTTTTCGATAAATAGCCAACAATTAGAGTATTTCTACTTTATAGTTCAATTTGGAGTAAATAAATTAATTAATTTCAAAATAAAATTATTTTGATTTTTTTCTTATAAATTAGAGGGAATTAAATGGATTCGACTCTTTTGTCATAAATAGCAATTAACCTTCAAAAATTAAAGAAGTTGGAAAAATTATCTATGAATTTTAGGTTAAAATTTTTTTAATTTCTGCACTAATTTGAAAAATTATGAAATTTAGGTAAGGTTATTTATATTCTGAAGGAATCATTTAATTTGCTTAAGGAATGGAATCATTTGCTACTTTAATTGATTTAAGCATTAATTTAGAGTAAAAATAAATAAAATTTTTCATTTTTATATTTATTTTACTATTAAAACAGTTCTAATTAAATATCTGAATCAGGAGCTGAGGCTCTTGGTAAATTAATTGGCAATCAAATTTTTCTATCAAGTTTGGATTTAAACTTTAAGTAAATTATAAAATTTATGATTTAAGCTTTTAATTAAATTTATTAATTAACTATAGCTATAATGCTTTGTGTGCTAATGGAGTTACTAAATTAATTGATCAAATTCATAAATGCTCAAGAATATAATCAATAAGCTTTAAACTTTAGTAATATTTTTCCAATCTTTTAATTTTAATTTGATTTATTTTAATTAGATAAAATGCAATTGATGCTAAAGGTGCTTTTGCAATAGGTAGTGCGATTTCTTAATGCAAGACATTAGTTAATTTATGCTTGGATTTAAGGTAATACTTTATTTTTCAAAAATTTATTATCTTAAAATTATTTTTATATTAGCTAAAATAGTATAGGTTTTTAAGGTTTATCAGATTTGGTAACATAGCTAAAATTATGCAAAAGTTTAGAAAATTTAGAAGTCTAAACATGGTATTTAGTCTTTTTTTATTTGTTAATTAATTCATAATTTAAATTAACAATTAAAAGCTATATTTAAGATGATACTGTTGAGGAATTGAATTTGGGGTTAAATTAAATAAAATCAATAAAATAGATATCATTTAATTTTAGGTAAAATTTATTTATTTATATTCATTAAGCTTAAAATTTATTAATAAATAGTTCAAACACTTTTGATAAAGTTAAAGCAATATCTGATTTAGCCAACAATTTAGAACTTTGTGCTAATCTCGTTAAGCTTAGGCTCTTTTTATGGTAACATATTTATTTAATAAAATATATTTAAAAGAGTTGATAAAATTCTAAGAAACTCTAAAATTTAATTAGAAAATTATAAAAATATCTTAAAAATATTCCTCAATTATAATTAACAATATTTGTTTAATTCAAAAAAATGAAAGAAATAATATTTTTTTAAATATTAAAATTATATTTATTTTAACAAGTTCTTGCTATTTAGAAGGAAATATCATTAAGCCATTAGGTTAAGCTTTGAAAAATAGCAAAAGTATTGCAAATGCATATCTTGATTTCAGGTATTTATTTGTTAATTTAAATAATTAATTCAGATATTTGGAGTAAACATATATTTTTTAAATAAAACCCCTATTAATTATTATTCTTTTTTAACTTTTAGATAGAAAATATTATATTTTCCTATTTCATCTTTTTAAGAAAGATCATTTAAAAAATATTTACAACATACATACATTTTATTTTATTGATTCATTTTTTTCTTCTAAATAACAAATAAATTAATTGTTATTATTTTTTTAATATTTAAAAAGTTACAATTAAATTGGTGATTAAGGTATATCAGACTTAGGCTCTGCTTTAGCAAATTGCACTAATCTCTAAAATCTGACATTTGATCTTTAGTAAAGACAGCTTATTTGTTTTTTATTGTGATATTTTTACTCATAAAAATGAATTTAAAACAATGCAGCTCTTTTAATTTGTTTATAAGATTTTTTATTTTTACTTTTCTATTTCTTTTTTATTCTAATTTCGTTTTTTTTCTTCTACAATTCTTAATTTAACTCATTTTTATTTTCAATATCTGCTTATATAATTTATTTATTAATTCTTTCTTATTATTTCATATTTTTTCTTCCCCTTTTCCTTTCTAAATAAATAATTATAAATATTTTTTCTTAACTATTTATAAGTGAAAATTAAATTGGTGACTAAGGTATATCATGCTTTGGTTCTGCTTTAGCAAATTGCACTAATCTCTCAAATTTGAGTCTTGCTCTTAGGTAAAAATAGTTTATTTGTTTTTGATTGTGATATTTTTACTTATAAAAGTGAATTTAAAACTATAAATCTCTTTTAATTTTTTTATTAGCTATTATTTGATTTAGATTTCTTAATTATACTCATTTTTTTATTTACAAAATTTTTTTTTATGATTTGTTAATCTTTAATTAATATTTTATATTTTTTCTTCATTTTTTTCTTCTAAATAAATAATTTTAAAAAGTAACAATTAAATTGGTGAAAAAGGTGCTTCAGGCTTGGGTTCTGCTTTAGCAAACTGCACTAGTCTCTCAAATTTGACACTTGATCTTCGGTAAAAACAGTTTATTTGTTTTATATAATTAATTAAATTTAAAACAATAAAACTCTTTTAATTTGTTTTTTAATTAATTTTGTAATAGATTTTTTTTTTATTGTCCGTCCTTGTTTTTTTTCTTCTATCTTTGTTAATTTAATTCATTTTTTACTTTCAAAATTTACCTTTATTATTTTTATATTTATTTCTTATTATTTCAAATTTTTTATACATTTTTTACTTCTAAATAACTAATCAATTTTTTTTTTCTTAAATATTTAAAAAGTTGGAATTAAATTGGTGATGAAGGCTCATCAGGCTTATGTTCTGCTTTAGCAAAACACATTAATCTCTCAAATCTGAGACTAGATCTTTAGTAAAAACAGTTTATTTGTTTTGCATAGTGATATTTTTACTTATAAAAATCAATTTAAAACAAAATAAATCTATTAATTTGTTAATTAGCTTTTTATTTGATTTATTTTGATTTTGATTTTTCATTCAAATTCTGCTAATGTTTTTTTATTTATTAATTTTAAATATAAATTTAGATTGAAAAATTTATTCTATTTAATTTTTTTAGTATTTTATTAAATTTAATATAATATAAAAGTGTAAACTAAATCAATGAATCATAATAATTGAAAGTAAAAAACAAGTGTCTTAAATCAAAAAGATTAGTTGTCTTTAAAATAAATTTCTGATGGCGATAGACAAGTTGTGAAAAAGGATGAATAAATATTAAATATTAAATAAAATTTTTTATTATATAATATTTTTTGCAAAAAAACATTTTAACCTAAAATATAGATAGATTTATTATTAAATATTTTATTTATTTTTATGTAAAAGGAGGGTGGGTTTTAAAGAAATTCCTTTATTTAAATAAATTTAATATGTAAATTTTCATATATGTATTAACTTACCAAATTATTCCATAAATAATAAAAAAAACTAATATATATTTAGTTTAAATTATCTTATTACAAAATACAAATTAATAAAACATATTATTTTATGTTATTTTTAATATTTCATGTTCATTAAACTTTTTTTCACTGTTTTTTTATCATCAATAAATATATATTTTAAAGAAAACTAATCTTTATGATTTAAGAAATTTGCTTTTTATTTTCAATTTTGATTAATAGACCTAGTCATAACTTTTATATGATATTAAATTAAAAATTTTAGCAGCATAAAAAGAGGTAAAAATAAATCAAATAAAAAGCTAATAAACAATTTCAAAGATTTTTACTTTTTTAAATTCATTTTTATAATTAAAAATATCACAATCCAAAACAAATAAAATGTTTTACCTAAGAAAAATTGCCAAATTTGAAAGATTAGTGCAATTTGCTATAGCAGAACCTAAGCTTGATATACCTTAATCACCAATTTAATTCCCTCTATTTAAATATTGAAGAAAAAAATAAATTATTAGTTAGATATTTAGAAGTAAAAAATATGTGAAATTAATAAATAAATAAAAAAATAAATGTTGAAAATAAAAATATGAGTTAAATTTAGAAAGATAGAACAAAAATAAGCATAAGTACAATAAAAAAAAAAGTAAAATAAATCAAATTAAAAGCTAATAAACAAGTTAAATGAGCTATATTGTTTTCAATTGATTTTTATAAGTTAAATATCACAATCCAAAACAAATAAAATGTTTTTACCTAAGATCAAGTCTCAAATTTGTGAGATTAGTGCAATTTGCTAAAGAATAACCTAAGCACGATGCACCTAAATCACCAATTTTATTATCACTTTATAAATATTGAAGAAAAAATATATAGTTTATTAGTTATTTGAAGAAAAATATGAAAAACTAAGAAATGAATTAAAAAATAATAAAAATAAATGTTGTTAATAAAAAAATGAGTTAAATTAAGAAAGGTAGTAGAAAAATAAATATAAGTACAGTAAAAATAAAAAAAAAAGGTAAATCAAATAAAAAACTAAAATAAGTTAAAAGAGGTTTATTGTTGTAAATTCATTTTTTTAATAAAAATATCACAATCTGAAGTAAAAAAACTATTTTTACCTAAGAAAAAGTTCAAAATTTGTAAGATTAGTGCAATTTGCTATAGCAGAACCTAAGACTTATGTGCCTTTTTAACCAATTTAATTGGATCTTATAAATATTGAGAGAAAAAAATATATAATTAATTAGATATTTAGAAAGAAGGAATTTGAATTATTAACAATTAAAGCAAATATTGAAAATAAAAAAATTAGCTAAATAAATTAATTAAGAAAGATAGATGAAAAAAATAACAAAATTACAATAAAAAAGAAAAAGAAAAGTAAATCAAATAAAAAGCTAATAACAAATTAAAAGATCTATGTTGTTTTAAATTAGTTTTGTAAGTAAAAATAATACTATCCATAACAAATAAACTGTTTCTTACTCAAGATAAAGTGTCACATTTGAGAGATTAGTGCAATTTGCTAAAGCAAAACTTAATCCTGATGCACCTTCATCACCAATGAAATTGTAACTTTTTAAATATTGAAGAAATAAGATTATATTAATTTTTTATTTAGAAGGAAAAAATGATAAAAAAATAAGAAATAAAAAAAGAAAATGAGTTAATAAATAATATAAGTAAATGTTGAAAATAAAAAATGAGCTAAATTAAGAAATATAAAAGAAAGAAAAACAAAAGTGCTATAAAAAAGAAAAAGAAAAGTAAACAAAATAAAAAAATTAAAAGAACTATATTGTTTTAAATTCATTTTTATAAGTAAAAATATCACAATCCAATAAAAATCAAATGTTTTACGCAAATTAAAGAGTCAAGTTTGAGAGATTAGTGCAACTTGCTAGAGCAGTACCTAAACCTGATGCACCTATTTCACCAATAAAATTGGATCTTTTTAATATTGAATAATATATAATTAATTAGTTAAATATAATAAAGGAAAAAATAAAGAAAAATAAGAAATAAAAAGAAAATGAATTAATAAAAAATTTATTAAAGCAAATGTTGAAAATAAAAAAATGAGTTAAATTAAGAAAGATTGAAGAAGAAAAAACAAAGTCCAATAAAAACAAAAAGAAAAATAAGTCAAATAAAAGCTAATAATTATATTAACAAAACAGATAAACTTTTTTTACTCAAGATCAAGTGTCAAATTTGAGAGATTAGGGCAATTTGTTAAAGCAAAACTTAAGCCTGAAGCACCTTCATCACCAATTTTATTATTCCTTTTTAAATATTGAAGAAAAAATATATTATTAATTAGTTATTTAGAAGGAAAAATATGAAATAATAAAAGAAAATGTAGAAAATAAAAAATAAATTAAATTAAGATGAAAAAAAGTAGAATAAAAAGCAAAAAGAAAATTAAATCAAATAATAAGCTAATAAAAAATTTAAAAGAAATATATTGCTTTGAATTCATATTTATAAATAAAAAAATGTATTAACTGTTTTTATAAAGTAAAAGTTTTAGAAAGAAAATATGAATAAAAATACCAAATATCAAAAAATTGATTATGAATTTAAAAAATTTAAATTGAAAATTAAGTTAAAATAACTAAAAAAACATTTTTTTATACAAAATGAAAGAAAATAGGTGATAATTTCTATTAGAAAAATAATATTTTAAATAAACTAAGTAGAAAACATTAATTATAATAATAAAAATTAAATTTACCGCAGATAAATATGGAGAACCTAATGAGATTAAAGTGAAGAGTTTAAAAACTTTTTATATTAGTAATAATAAATTTATATTATATTGATAAAAAATAAATAATTACATCTTTTAATTTATAGTAATAGTTAATCTATTATATCATTTTTTTTCTTTTCAAAAATATTGAATAATAATTTGTTAAAAATTGGATAAAAAGAATAAATAAATTATATTAATTTATAAATTTTCTTTTAGCAAGAGAAATCACAAATAAAGTTATTGTAGCATTCATTATTAAATATTAATATTTTTATGTCAAATGCACTTAAAAATATAGAAGGAACTAGAGATTGGATATAAAAAATAATAAGAATGCTTAACTAGAATTAATCCCTAATTTTTTCAATAGAAATTTAGAGCTTGCAGTTTTTAACCCCTCCAATTCCTTAATATTATGATAGAGGATAATATTTAATATTTTAATGTTTTGATTTTTTTTTGGTATAAACTGTTCTCTCGTTTTAGAGAAATTCATTTATTTAAGTAAATTTAATCTGTAAATTTTCAATTATTTAATAAGCCATATATTAATTAACATACTAAATATTCATAAATATAAAAATAATAATAAATCTATCTATATTTTAGGTTAAATTGTTTTTTTTGCAAAAAATATTATATAATAAAACATTTTATTTAATATTTAATATTTATTCATCCTTTTTCACAACTTGTCTATCGCCATCAGAAATTTATTTTAAAGACAACTAATCTTTTTGATTTAAGACACTTGTTTTTTACTTTCAATTATTATGATTTATTGATTTAGTTTACACTTTTATATTATATTAAATTTAATAAAATACTAAAAAAAATTAAATAGAATAAATTTTTCAATCTAAATTTATATTTAAAATTAATAAATAAAAAAACATTAACAGAATTTAAATGAAAAATCAAAATCAAAATAATTCAAATAAAAAGCTAATTAATAAAAATTATTCTTTAAATTAATAAATAAAATAATATTAATGGAATAAAAAGATAAAAAAAGAATAAATAAAAGATATCAAATAAATTCAAAGAGCTTTTTTGTTTTATATTCATTTTTATTATTTAAAATACCACAATCCAAAATAAATAAACTGTTTTTACCTAAGACAAAGTGTCAAATTTGAGAGATTAATGCAATTTGTTAAAGCAGAACCTAAGCTTAATACTCCTTCATCACCAATTTAATTTCCACTTTTTAAATTTTGAATAAAAAATTTATAATTAAATAGTTAATTAGAAGGAAAGAATAAAGAAAAAATATGAAATAATAAGATTAATTAATAATAAAAGCAAAAGTTGAAAAAAAAGTGATGAGCTAAATTAACAAAGAAAGAAAGAAAGAAAGAACAAAAAAAAGCAAACACAATAAAAAGAAAAAGAAAAAAGAGCTTTATTGTTTTTAATTAGTTTTTATAATTAAAAAGATCACAATCTAAAACAAATAAAATGTTTTTACTCAAGGTAAAGTGTCAAATTTGAGAGATTAATGCAATTTGCTAAAGCAGAACCTAAGCCTGATACACCTTCATCACCAATTTTATTCCAACTTTTTAAATATTGAAGAAAAAATATATCATTAAATAGTTAATTTGAAGGAAAAAATGAAGAAAAAATATGAAATAATAAGATTAATTAATTAATAATAAAAGTAAAAGTTGAAAATAAAGTGATGAGCTAAATTAACAAAGAAAGAAAGAAAGAACAAAAAAAAGCAATCACAATAAAAAGAAAAAGAAAAAAGAACTTTATTGTTTTTAATTAGTTTTTATAATTAAAAATATCACAATCCAAAACAAATAAACTGTTTTTACCCAAGGTAAAGTTTCAAATTTGAGAGATTAATGCAATTTGCTAAAGCAGAACCTAAGCCTGATGCACCCATTGCACCAATTTAATTTTCACTTTTTAAATTTTGAAGAAAAAATTTACCATTAAATGGTTAATTTGAAGGAAAGAATATAGAAAAAATATGAATAAAAAGATTAATTAATAATAAAAGCAAAAGTTGAAAATAAAGTGATGAGCTAAATTAACAAAGAAAGAAAAAAAAAAAGAAAGAAAGAAAAAAAAGCACAATAAAAATAAAAAGAAAAAAGAGCTTTATTGTTTTTAATTAGTTTTTATAATTAAAAATATCACAATCCAAAATAAATAAACTGTTGTTACTAAAGGTTAAGTGTCAAATTTGAGAGATTAATGCAATTTGCTAAAGCAGAACCTAAGCCTAATGCACCTTCATTACCAATTTAATTTCCACTTTTTTAATTTTGAAGAAAAATAAATCATTAAATAGTTAATTTGAAGGAAAAAATGAAAAAAAAAAAATGAAATAATAAGATTAATTAATAATAATAAAAGCAAAAGTTTAAAATAAAATGATGAGCTAAATTGACAAAGTAAGGGCAGGGTATTGTTAATTAGGACAATTTTTAAATTATTATTTTTTAGAAGAAATTACTCCTTCTAAAA